GAGGGAAACAAGTATTAGATCCCCTGCTGATTTTGTACGTTTGCCCACTGACAAAGACATGATCAGTCTATAATTTTAATGGTAGGTTTATTTGAACAGTGAGAGACAGAATAACAACAAAAAAATCCAGAAAAACGCATGTCAAAAATGTCATAAATTGATTTGCATTTTAATGAGGGAAATAAGTATTTGACCCCTCTACAAAACATGACTTAGTACTTGGTGGCAAAACCCTTGTTGGCAATCACAGAGGTCAGATGTTTCTTGTAGTTGGCCACCAGGTTTGCACACATCTCAGGAGGGATTTTGTCCCACTCCTCTTTGCAGATCTTCTCCAAGTAATTAAAGTTGAGCCTGACGTTTGGCAACTCGAACCTTCAGCTCCCTCCACAGATTTTCAATGGGATTAAGGTCTGGAGACTGGCTAGGCCACTCCAGGACCTTAATGTGCTTCTTCTTGAGCCACTCCTTTGTTGCCTTGGCCGTGTGTTTTGGGTCATTGTCATGCTGGAATACCCATCCACGACCCATTTTCAATGCCCTGGCTGAGGGAAGGAGGTTCTCACCCAAGATTTGACGGTACATGGCCCCGTCCATCGTCCCTTTGATGCGGTGAAGTGGTCCTGTCCCCTTAGCAGAAAAGACCCCCAAAGCATAATGTTTCCACCTCCATGTTTGACGGTGGGGATGGTGTTCTTGGGGTCATAGGCAGCATTCCTCCTCCTCCAAACACGGCGAGTTGAGTTGATGCCAAAGAGCTCGATTTTGGTCTCATCTGACCACAACACTTTCACCCAGTTCTCCTCTGAATCATTCAGATGTTCATTGGCAAACTTCAGACTGGCCTGTATATGTGCTTTCTTGAGCAGGGGGACCTTGCGGACGCTGCAGGATTTCAGTCCTTCACGGCGTAGTGTGTTACCAATTGTTTTCTTGGTGACTATGGTCCCAGCTGCCTTGAGATCATTGACAAGATCTTCCCGGGTAGTTGTGGGCTGTTTCCTCACCGTTCTCATGATAATTGCAACTCCACGAGGTGAGATCTTGCATGGAGCCCCAGGCCGAGGGAGATTGACAGTTATTTTGTGTTTCTTCCATTTACGAATAATTGCACCAACTGTTGTCACCTTCTCACCAAGCTGCTATGCGATGGTCTTGTAGCCCATTCCAGCCTTGTGTAGGTCTACAAGCTTGTCCCTGACATCCTTGGAGAGCTCTTTTGTCTTGGCCATGGTGGAGAGTTTGGAATCTGATTGATTGCTTCTGTGGACAGGTGTCTTTTATACAGGTAACAAACTGAGATTAGGAGCACTCCCTTTAAGAGTGTGCTCCTAATCTCAGCTCGTTACCTGTATAAAAGACACCTGGGAGCCAGAAATCTTTCTGATTGAGAGGGGGTCAAATACTTATTTCCCTCATTAAAATGCAAATCAATTTATAACATTTTTGACATGCGTTTTTCTGGATTTTTTTGTTGTTATTCTGTCTCTCACTGTTCAAATAAACCTACCATTAAAATTATAGACTGATCATGTCTTTGTCAGTGGGCAAACGTACAAAATCAGCAGGGGATCAAATACTTTTTTCCCCTCACTGTATATGGCCAATATACCACGGCTAATGGCTGTTCTTATTCATGACGCAACGCGGAGTGCCTGGATACAGCCCTTAGCCGTGGTATATTGGCCATTTACCACAAACCCCCGAGGTGCCTTATTGCTATTATAAACTGGTTACCAACGTAATTAGAGCAGTAAAAATAAATACTTTGTCACACCCGTGGTATACGGTCTGATATACCACAGCTGTCAGCCAATTAGCATTCAGTGCTCGAACCACCCAGTTTATAATGTGAATTCAATCACCCTTCACCATCATCATTCAGATTATTGACTTGAAGAACTCGTGGATGTTTCTGAAGTGAAATTATGTTGTTGCTCACCAGTGCCCTCTGAAGAAGAAAAAACGATACACTGTAGCCTAACAATATCGCTAGCAAACCGCAGATTTGTTTCACTATAGAAGCACTGTACCTCTTACATTTTAATTCCAGGTTTCATATCAAAATATTTAAGGGCATATCGAATGGTCTGTTCTTCCTATAAATCACGCCAAGCATAGGGTTGCTATAAAATTGAAATGGGAAAATAATATACCCGTGAAAACTATGAACTAGCTCCCCAATACCGTCTGATGTATATATTTAATGTATTACATGAATGGTAAACACAGCCCTCCCGAAAATACATTTACATCGTGTATTAATGCGACTTTTTCCACCCTGCTCAATGTATTCAATTTCAAATGTGGCTCCCAGCGCGGCTTTACTTCCGGGCTATTATGACGCATCTGGCAGTTCCTTCTCACTGCGTTCCTAGCCTAGCAGTGCCATCTTGCGGTGAAAACATGCATTTTTCGTTACTATGACAACGGCTATGTGGTGGGATTAGAAAAGCCTAACTTGTAACTAACCAGCAACAATCAAGCCAACATTTAATTTTTTTGCTAGCTAAGGTTAGTAAACCACATTAAGTTATGCTAGTTTGCCATCTTACTTTTAAGTTCACCTAATAAGATTACGCATAATTGTAACTGTAGCAACCTAGCTAATTTAGACCAGAAAGAGGTTGACCATTTACAATTGCCTGTTTTGGCTGTTGCATGCAAAAATGTTCGGCAAGCTAACTTTAGCTACTGTAGCTAGCTAGCTAGTGATTCCCAAGTTTTATGTGATTGTTTTAAATGACTAACGTTAGCTAGTCACAACTTCTGTAACGTTGATAGAAAACACTGAAGTAGATTTAGCTGTGGAACTTATACTGCACAAAGGGAAAATGGTCATGATTCACATCTTGCCAGTCCTTGGATACCACAAACAGATGCTAGCTAGCTAACTAGCTTAAGAAACTTACTCGGCAGTCTCAGCTCCCGAATCCACGTTTTTAATCAACCGTTCCGTTGAATAGAATCGATCTTCGTAGCATTGTCCGATAATGCCACCGGACTTTAATCGAGTCCTATGGAGAAAAGCACATTTTTGCAGTGGCCCTAACTTCTGATGACAAGAATGGGCACCGTTCAGTCAGCCCGTTAGCGAAGTCTGTTTTTTTTTTCTCACGAGCATCGTTCTAGCCGGGACACTGACGTCATCAGCTGTACTGGTACCTTTAGACATAGCTATTTTATACAGGGAGTAGAATGTCAGATTTAGGGAGGCTGTAAAAAAGTCGTGTCTACTCACGAACACATGAATAACGACGTGTAGAGTTGACCAGGAGAGATGAAAAATGGGAGAAAGGGTTTAGTCTACTAAATGAGGAAAATAATATGCAGAATAGCGCCAGATGGCAGCCGTCGCACCGTCACGTATGAGCAGACAAAGGATAGTCCAGACGGGTTAACTAGACTTTGCGGGGCAAAGGAGGTAATACCACTTCCGTAATGTAAGTAAGACTTGAATCCTGAGAAAATGAGGCCATCATCTGTCACATTTCTGTTAAAGAGTATTAACAACCTTGGCACCTATGACCCCTTTTAGCCCTGGTTACATTGCCACATTCTTGATGTGTTGGAGCATGTGATTTATTTGTAGACATTAGAAATAGAATGGTTCTAGTTAGGTGGTAGACATTCTGGAACATTGGAGAATATAATTGGCATCTTCTGTTGGCCACAAATGTCTCATTAATAAATATTTTCTAATAATCAACATTAAATTGTCATAGCAGCTGTCTGTAGTACTTGTGAGATGCACATTCATCCATTGAACCCATGGAAGGTGGCCTACTGTAGCCTCAACCAACTTCATTGCACACTGAGAAATAACATTCACTTGAGAAGGTGATTCAGCAAGAAACATTGCAGTTCTAAAGCAAATGCAGTGACTCAAAGTTGGCTACCACTGTTTGAAAGCAATACAAATAGTTATTGAGTTCCTTATCTTGGCTGCGTAACAGTTTTACTGTGGTTCCCTCTATGAATTAGGCTTTAATTATGGTCAAGGAGCAGATATTTCACAGTAAAGACAATTTACTGTGGCTTTCTCTCTGCTCTCAGAGAGGAATACACAAGGCACAGCATTGTGAAACATGGAGGCAAAATTCCCTTTGATGTACAATTTCTTTTTCTACATTTAATATGATGAAAACTAGGCCCTGTACAGTCCACTTTAGTGAGTACAATTATTTACAATTTATACACATTAAAACATGGTGCTAAATTGGTTCCAATTGAAATGCAGTAAAGAAAAAAAGAAACTTCACCTTTGGTCTGCATTGGGAAGAACCTACAATTCCAAGGAGAGTAATATTTTCTGGCCTGACGATCCAATTTTACAATAGGCCCCATTGACAAAAACAAAACATACACCTTGTATAGAGCATATGTGACTTCTTCTACCACTCCATAAGATAAAGCATGCTATCAAGCAACTGCTCCTGTTCTCTGCAACCCAGCAACAACATCCATGTCCTCTTCTCTTTGATTAAAGCCCTAGAGGGGGGAAAAAATGCCAATAGTATTTGACAACCTGTACAACCAGCATGGTGCCATGAAAAAACACAAACATAACACATTTACATCAACATTTAAAATGGGAGAAATGTCAAATGTCTTCGTGTAGCCAACCCACATTTGCTTGGTATATATTTTGTATTATTTTGTTTATGCTAGTTCTTTTCCTTTGTTTATTGGGTTTGAATGCAGAACATTTGACGCATTCCCACTCTGTCCCCCTAATTCTCCCCAAGGCCACATTAGGAACATGAAACTGTAACAAAGCTAGATCCAATCCCTCCATTTAGCTCTTCTCAGCAGAAGAAATCTAAAATATATTTAAAAAACCTTGTCTTTTTAAATACATTTTTTTTTTCAATGGAAGAAAAGTAAGCTTCCCAGTGTTTCCCAGTATCAGACACATTTCCAAGTTCATACGCATAACACAAGACCCCCCCAAAAAAGTATTGTTTCTTTTTGTGTCAGGTTTCATTGAATTCACGCCTTTATGCTACATAAGTGTACACTTTGCGATCCTCCGGTGTCCGCGCCAAATATTCCCGCTCAATGAGTCCTTCAATGCGCTTCTTGATGACTACAGGACTGGGGAGGAATCGCGATCGCAGCTGCTGGGTGACCTGGAGAGACGGTACAAACAGACACAATCAGAACCGGATCTCACATCTAATTACTGACGTTAATGAAATACTCAGAGGTACAGCCAGAAGTACCCCGAAACACCTCAATGTTCATACACTCTATTCCACTGACCTCTGCTACCAGTACGTTATGCTGCATCTTCTTTCTAGACTTCATGATGCGGACGATGGCCGCCTCAATCTCGTGCTTCCTATCGTCGTCCACTTTCTGCCGCGTCTCCTTCCTCTCCGGGTCCGTCTCTCCTTGCTTAGCGGCGACTAGTGACCAACACAAGGAAACAAGTTTCAGCCGGGAACCACATATGACAGCTACATGCACAGGACTATATCATTCACGCTACACAGGTAAAGCTGGCTGGGCTATCCAGATGAGTGGAGATCAGTGGGGTTTTCACTACAACTATTTGAGAGGTAGAATCATAGAACTAGAATCTCATTATAGTTCTGTGGGTAGAATGACCCTAGAAGGTTGGTATACATACAGTTCAACGGCACACTTCAGAATGCAATGTTGAAACAAAATAAATCCTGGTTGTTTTTGTGCCATTTCAGTTATGCATGCCCTAGCTCTTTGAATCTGTGTTCCACAAGACCGGCCTGTATGGCTAAGTGGGTTTGTCTACCTGTCTGGATCTTGACGCGGTGCAGCTTGGAGGTGAACTGATCGTTGACGGTGAACACGTGGCCGTTTTCGATCTCCTTGGACTTGGGCTCCTTGGTGAGGACGCGCTGGGTGGGCTTCCCGCAGGCCAGCGACTGAAGCGCTCGCACCAGCTCCCTCTCCGGGATGTCTGTCTCCTGCTGGATCTCCTACACAGCAGAGAGCGAGAGATGGGGACAAAGAGGAGACATGGAGATGAGGCAGAGGGATCCTTTGATCCATGACTGCACTATACTGAAACCAAAGAATACATTGTTTTATAGAGAAACAAGAGTGTCTAACTTTTTCAGTTCAATATAACTTTACTCATCCCCTCAGGGAAAGACATTGCCAGACCACAAATATCAACATCCTGCACATATAATAAAGACATCACATTGCCCAAATACATCCCCCCTTACAAACTTTACTTTATTCAGTGATGTGCTACGCATTCAATTAGCGGCTGTACCTCAAACATGGACTTCTCCCGGTTGTTGAAGAGCATGAGTATTGTCATCTGGAAGGTGGACACCTGCAGTATGTGCTTCCTGGTGTTGGAGCCTGTTACTTGGGCGCCGCCCACCCCCACCTCCGACCCGTCCTCCTGGGGAGAGAGAAGAAGAGAGAAGTCACCACCGGCCGGCCGCCTTCAGGTAACTCAGTCACACAGGAGTAATCATCAATGTAGCCTCTGTTCAATCACTGACTAGGTCATGCTTATTTAAACACATACATGTGTGAAATGTTAGTTTAACCCCGCCCCCCACACATCCCTGTTCATCCCATATTCAAAGGCAAGTGCAGCCTTGATACACCTGCTGTTATCAAGGCCTGATGTTGACATTAGTGGTGTGTGTGTGCATCAATCTGTCTGTCTGTCAGCCAGTCAGGCAAAGACTGTCCCCTGCATACCTTTTTGATTGGGCCGTAGAAGGTGGCGTTGAGGTCTGCAGAGCCCATGTGATGCTGCAACGTGAGCTGCCTGCCGCTGTGCTTGGCCAGATAAAATCTATGGCAGCAGAACCAGAGGACAGTCACACACTACAGCGTTAAAGATAAACACAGACAATGGACAGCGCCCCGCTTCCACAACCTGCAGCAGAGAATATATGGCCTCTGCTATGCAAAGTAAATGAGATACAGTGAAGAACAAAGACAAACCTTCTAAAGACTTCAAATGCATGTCGAGGAGAAGGGGGGATATTACATTTGGGCGTGGCGGACTGCGTTGGCCAGTAACCTGTCGTCAACACCCTCACTGTGAGATCGACTCCGCCCAACGACACCTGGGGATGGAAGTTAGATCTACGTCTTTCACTGAGGTTCCCAATGGTCAGAATGACCATCAAAAGCTCCACAAGATGTGCTCTTCGCTTTGACAGAGCTAATGCTAGGTTAAATAAAGAGCAATAGTAATGGCGTCTTTTTGTAGGTACTAACCCCGCCATGGGTCGTTGGACAAAGCCTATGGGAAAATGAATGGAGTTTTTGTACGTTTTTTTGATAAACGCCGAAAATAAGGTATGTGGTAAACACAGGCTTAGGAGATCTTATACTTTTTGTCCCAAAACCCTATTATTTCCCCATAGGAATGGCTGAACGAACCAGAGGTAACTTATTTCAAAAAAAATTTAGGACTACAAGCTGGTTCCCCAGAACCAACACTGGACTGGTTCTGGGAGTGTGTGTCTCTGTGTCTCACCGCCGTTGACTGTAGGTGTTGGCGGAACTCGTCCATGGTTGTGTTTGAGATGCTCATGTCTCGGAACATGCCTTCCAGTTTGGAAGTGAACTGGCAACCACACTCCGTCTGGCCAGGGGAACCAGAGGAAGAGCGAGAGGAAGAGAAAGAGAGAGAGAGAGAGATACGGGATGATACAGATCTAGTCAACAACACTTCACTCGCTCTATCCGTTTCTGTCACACTGACTCTCCAACTCCGCTGAGCTGTAGTTCAACATACAGTTTCTGTGAAGGTCAAGTTAAAAATGCATTGTCATGTGTAAAGTACCAGACCTGGGATCAAAATACAATTTAAAATAATTTCAAATACTTTAGCTTTGCTAGCTTGAGGTTGCCTGTTGCAATTGAACCAATCGAAACGAACCAAAAGTGCAAACCCCGCCCACATGGCACCCCAAGCAGGCTAACGCAAACGCTCAAAGTATTTTAAAGATTTGAAATAGTATTTGAACACAGGTCTGGTATGTACTTATATTGAAAATCTTAAGGTCGCACTTATTAGGTATTGAAGGTTCTACAATACATCTGAAACAAACAGTTGATGAATGTGTTAATGGATGGAAGATCTTAAGATATGCAGCTACTGCACTTCCTCCTCCTCAGTCGCCTCACCTTGAGCTTAGAGATCATGTTCTTCTCCGAGTCGTCCGAGACGCTCTTGTTGGTGAGCAGCCTCCTGGCCAGGTGCTGTTTGTAGTACCTCTCAAACACATCCTTCTCCTGCATGAACCTGAAGAGCACCATGGCCTTGTCCAGGATCGACTCCACCTCCTGCTCCGTCAACTACGCACACAGAACGAGAGGACAGCGAGCGTTACACGAGCACACATACACACTTTAAATGATTACATTTCAAACACTGATTTAATCAAATATATTGAACTCCTTATACAGTGAGCTCCAAAAGTATTGGGACAGTGACAATTTTGTAGTTGTTTTGGCTCTGTACTCCAGCACTTTGGATTTGAAATGATACAATGACGGAGGTTAAAGTGCAGTCTGTCAGCTTTAATTTGAGGGTATTGTCATCCATATCGGGTGAACCGTTCAGAAATTACAGCACTTTTTGAACATAGTCACCCCCCATTTTAGGGGACCAAAAGTATTGGGACAAAATCACTTATGTGTATTAAAGTAGTAAAAAGTATAGTATTTGGTCCCATATTCATAGCATGCAATGACTACATCAAGCTTGGACTCTACAAATTGGTTGGATGCATTTGCTGTTTGTTTTGGTTGTTTCAGATTATTTTGTGCCCAATAGAAATGAATGGTAAATAATGTATTGTCATTTTGGAGTCACTTTTATTGTAAATAAGAATAGAATATGTTTCTAGACACTTCTACATTAATGTGGTTGCTGCCATGATTACGGATAATCCTGAATGAATCATGAATAATAATGAGTGAGAATATCACACCCATCCTAAAAATGCTAACCTCCCCTGTTAGCATGTCTTGGGGGTATGATAGTTCACGACTCATTCAGGATTATCCATAATCATGGTAGCATCCAAATTAATGTAGAAGTGTCTAGAAACATATATTATTTTTTACAATAAAAGTGACTCAATACATTATTTACCATTCATTTCTATTGGGCACAAAATCATCTGAAACACAACCAAATGTTTGTCACAATCAAATGGCACCTATTTCCTATATTGTGCATTACTTTTACCAGGGCCCATAGGGTGCTGAGCCCTGGTCAAAAGTAGGGCACTATGTAGTGAATGAGGGGAGGACGTTCCTCCCCATTACATCAGAAAACCACTCACTCCTTTTACGCCTTTCTTCAGCTTGTCGTCGATGAACAGGGAGAGGTACTCGGGGGAGCGCGAGTTGAGGTTGAGGAAGTATTCAAAGTCCCCTGCGATGGTCTGCTTGAAGAGCCGGTCGTTGTTGAACGACTCTAGGAGGAAGCGGTCGAAACGCGACTTCAGATCCAACAGACCCTGCAGACAACAAAAACCAGAGGAAGGAAGAAAACGTGACATTATTGGAAAGCAGTGGCACTTACTCCATGCTCTTGTGTACGCTGCCATCTAGAGTCAATATGGAGTATAACAACAGAAATTGCATCCCTGTAGTAGATTTAACAGCATTGGATCGGTGTAAGCATTTGCTGGAGTTTCCACTATTGTTAAATCCATGACCAGAGAGTGTGGAAATGCACAATTCGGGAGAATGGGAATGTAGTCAGAGATCAATTTTTAGTGGACCCCCTGCCCCATGTCAACGATGTCACTTCCTGTGTAAATTACCTGGATGTAATCCACAGGGTTTTTGACCTCGCCCTCCTCTGACACCAGCGCCTTGCCCTGCTCGCGGAGGTAGGAGCTCATGCACTCACACATGGTCTTCAGTCCGTTTGGCACTCTGCTAAAGAGCTTATACATACACGCCAGGTCTGTGTTCACGCACACACATCAGTACAAACACGTTAGTATCCAAAGACCACCCGCCAATATCTATCACAAGAAATATTGAATATGCTGACATTGATATCAAAACAATGGCACGGGTGGTGCCAAGTATGCACACGATAACAACACACATTCACACAATGTACATTATTCTGCTCTACAAAATACTTCTTAAGAGGTATGCAAATGTATGACAAACTTTAACGTCAGGGTGAAATATCCCTTTCATGAAAAAAGAAAGACAAAAGGTCTGTATCCCAAATGGCACCCTATGCCCTATATAGTGCACTAATTTTCACCAGAGCCCTATCGGCCCTGTCAAAGGTATTTCAATAGTAGTAGTAGTGTGGCAAACTGACCCTCTGTCTTTCCGTTCTTGAGCATGTGGACGAGGCCCGAGTTCTCCATTTCCACGATGGTCTTCATGTGCTTGGAGATGAGCTCCCGCTCCACCACCTTGACGATGGGCTCCTCCGTTGTCTTGTCCAGGCAGTGCAGCACGCGCTCGATCTCCTCATTTATCCGCGCCTCCACTTTCTTTATGTACACGCTTGCGCTGTTCTCCGCCAAAAACTTCTGACTTTCCATCTGGAGGGCAAACAAACACGGGGTTAGGAGCACTTTGGGTGATTGAGAGGGCATACACATTATGTATATTTTTTTGACATTTTAGTCATTTAGCAGACGCTCTTATCCAGAGCGACTTACAATTAGTGAGTGCATACATTTTTCATACTGGCCCCCCATGGGATATATACAACATGATAATAGTAGGCGAACAACATATATCAATGCAAGTCAACGTGCATGACACATATAGCATTGATGCGAATGAAATGTATGAATAGATGGGGGGGGATTCTTACAAACCTGGAAAAACTCTGCAGACATTTCTAAAAACGGGGCCTCAAAGTCCTCTTCGTAAACCGACCTCCCTTCGAGGCCTAAGATCATTAACATCTGACAGGCATTTCTGATTGCCCCCCTGAGAAAGAGAGAGACACAAACAGGGTCAGATTAAAAAACACCTCTACAGATTAATTCTAATTCAGTCCATGTGTCAAGTACAGTTGGGTCTCAAATTGCATTCTATTATGGGGCTTGGTCAAAAGTAGTGCACTGAGTGTACAAAACATTAGGAACACCTGCTCTGTCCATGACATAGACTGACCAGGTGAAAGCTATTATCCTTTATTGATGTCACCTGTTAAATCCACTTCAAAATAAGTGTACCGTATTTTCCGCACTATAAGGCACACCGGAGTATAAGCCGCAGCAGCTAAAATGAATGATATTGAATGATGTGTACATATATAAGCTGCAGGTGTTTTAATGTTTAATTACCATATGTAAGGGTTCGTGCACAGAGGGGATTGTCGGGAAAGAGACAAACTGTCTCGCTCTCGTAATGTCTGTCTGTCTTGCTCTCGTTCTGTCTCTCGTACCACTCTCGGTTCCACTTTTACTTTTGCGCGCTACCTGTCTCACTCTTTTCCGGCCTCCAGCTATTCCTGCTGGAGCCCGCCGCTTAAAGGTGGGGGGCGCGGACCGGTCATAGAGCCCATAGAGTTCAAGTTGGTGGACTGTAACCTGTAAAATCCATAGATTTAGGAGGTCTTCTAGTGGCCGTTAGCTGTAAAAATCCATAGATTAGCCGCACCGTTATATAAGCCGCAGGGTCGAAAAATGGGAAAAAAGGCGCGGCTTATAGTCCGAAAATTACGGTAGATGTAGGGGAGGAGACAGGTTAAAGAAGGATTTTTAAGCTTTGAGACAATTGAGACATGGATTGTGTAGGTGTTCCATTCAGAGGGTTAATGGGCAAGACAAAATATTTAAGTGCCTTTTGAACGGGGTATCAAGAACTGCAACGCTGCTGGGTTTTTCACGCTCAACAGTTTCCTGTGTGTATCAAGAATGGTCCACCACCCAAAGGACATCCAGCCAACTTGACAACTGTGGGAAGCATTGGGGTCAACATAGGCCAGGATCCCTGTGGAACGCTTTCAACACCTTGTAGAGTCCATGCCCTGACGAATTGAGGCTGTTCTGAGGGAAAAAGGGAGTGCAACTCAATATTAGAAAGGTGTTCCTAATGTTTTGTATGCTCAGTGTATATGATGCTATTTAGGTCTGGGTCTGCTCAAAGACTAGATCAAATACTTTTTAAATGCAACAAAGAGAACAATGAAATAATCATGGATTAGGGTTGTGGTTTTCTTTAAAATCGGGAGAAACACTCCTTCAGCTCAGAAACTGTGGCTCTGTTCGAATTCCTTCAAAGTGCATCCTCCCTCCCTTGAAACAGTCAATGCTTTGACATGGCTGGACAGATGAATGCTAGCGTTCCACCGCATGGCTTCCAGTCATTTCCAGTGACTCCACTTGTCCAGTCATTTCAGTGATTCCTTCAACGAAGCTAGGAATTTGTGCACTATTAAAGAAGTCGAACGGGGCCTGCGTATAGAGGGGGTCATATCATTATACCTGTCCACCACCTCGCCCTTCCTCTCCCGTGCGATCATGTCCAGGAGGGTCTGTCGGAGGTGGTCTCGGATGCAGCCGTAGCGCACCACCTGGTCTCTGAAGATGATCAGGCCCAGGTTGTAGACGTTCTCCACGCTGTTCTGCTGCACGTACACCCGGTCCTGGGAAACAAGAGGACGAGAGGGGGAAGCTTTGTCATTCAAGGCTGATTTTGCGCAAGTTTTGCATTTCCCCCACTAATGGTTATGGTTAGGATTGGGGGATGGGAAGCTGATCTCAGATCTGTACCTCACCCCGGAGCGCGTTTGAGACCTGCAGCCAGGAAGCAATGCATTACCAGTCCAAGGGAGGGTTACGAGACGACACTGTATTGAGAAATACAGTCAAATCCTAATAACTAAGAAGTGTGCATGTCCGATTAGCACAAATTGTGCATGTCAGCAGTTACGTTTTCTAAAAGTGTGATGATGATGCAAAACACATGATGTAGCATCACTTTTAGATTTGTGCTGCATCTTGAAAACGTATCTGCTGACTGGAACAACAGTGGACGAATGAACAAAATACTAAAATATTATATTGGAGTAACACATCCCTGGTTTACGTCTGTAGCTGGCAGACCCATGTATTTAGAGAGTTGGGACATTGAGGTTTCTGCATAATGGTGCATTTACATGACTCTACAATACTATGGCAGCCATGTTAGCACCCCATTAACATTACATGGGGAATATGAAAATAATGCTATGTAACTGTATGTCTAGAATTAAAACATTCTAAATTCTATAAGTTGGCATAACTCTCTAAATACATGGCTCTGGTAGCTGGTGGTGGCACTCACCATGTACATGAGGATGTCTCTGATCATGACCATGGCCGTCTGGTGGTCGTTCCAGGCTTGGTTCAGTGTTTGGAGGAAGTTGTTGTTTAGTGAGTTGAGGACATCTTCCCGTACCTGTGGGGAAGCAGCAGCACAGTCAGACAGAGAGGCATTCGTTTGATACTATACCAACACCACACTGATAACTCGGCACACTGAGACCATCTCGCTTTCTCTGCATGACACACTCTCTCTGTCTGTGAGTCTCTCCCTCCACGAGCTCCTCTCTCTGAGTGAGTCCATCTCTCTCTGTATGGGACTCTAAAGGACACTGTGCCCATCAATTTCAGGCAGAGAAACGTCATCATCCATTTAGTGAAACAGTGCCCAGCATACTGACACACACAATCTCAATGGAAAGTAAACCCCTCAGCTCACTATAAACACTCACTGATGAATCTGTTGTACTTACAGTGCCTTCGGAAAGTATTCAGATCGCTTGACTTTTTCCACATTTTGTTACGTTACAGCCTTATTCTAAAATGGATTAAATACAAAAAAATCCTCAGCAATCTACACACAATACCCCATAGTGACAAAGCGAAAACAGAAATACATTATTTACATAAGTATTCAGACCCTTTGCAATGAGACTCGAAATTGAGCTCAGGTGCATCCTGTTTCCATTGATCATCCTTGACATGTTTCTACAACTTGATTGGAGTCCATGTGGTAAATTCAATTGATTGGACATGATTTGGAAAGGCACACACCTGTCTATTTAAGGTCCCACAGTTGACAGTGCATGTCAGAGCAAAAACCAAGCCATGAGGTCGAAGGATTGTCAGTAGAGCTCCGAGACAGGATTGTGTTGAGGCACAGATATGGGGAAGGGTACCAAAAAATCTCTGCAGCATCATTGAAGGTCCCCAAGAACACAGTGGCCTCGATCATTCTTAAATGGAAGAAGTTTGGAACCACCAAGACTCTACCTAGAGCTGGCCGCCCGGGCCAAACTGAGTTCCTCTGTGGAGATGGGAGAACCTTCGGCCTGAATGCCAAGCGTCACGTCTTGAGGAAACCTGGCACCATCCCTACGGTGAAGAATGGTGGTGGCAGCATCATGCTGTGGGGATGTTTTTCAGCGGCAGGGACTGGGAGACTAGCCAGGATCGAGGCAAAGATGAACGGAGGTTAAATGCGATATCCATTTATTTATTTTATTTTGCACAAATTTCTAAAAAACAGTTTTTGCTTTGTCATTATGGGGTATTGTGTGTAGATTGATGAGGGGAATTTTTTTTTTAATCCACTTTAGAATAAGTCTGTAACGTAACAAAATGTGGAAAAAGTCAAGGGGTCTGAATATTTCCCAATGCACTGTATGTGTATTAACCTAAAATACCATCACCCAAATGGAAGACTTTGAGAGAAAATTGCCCGCGCTGAAGACATCTAATCTATATGGGTCCGTTAAATCAAGGCCTAGTAAAGGCCCAGTGCACTACTTGTGAAAAAATGTAAACTAAATGTATTTGAGCGTTTACCAGCATTTGATCTGATAATTATCTGTACAAACAGTTAATTGGATAATACTTGTGGAATATAAAAATACTTGCTTGATATGTTTTCCAGTTCCTTTAAATACTTAGCAAATGCAACTTATTATTTTTGAACATAATTTTTTTTACCCCTTTTCTCCCCAATTTCGTGATATCCAATTGGTAGTTACAGTCTTGTCCCATCGCTGCAACTCCTGTACGGACTCGGGAAAGGCGAAGGTCGAGAGCCATGTGACCTCCGAAACACGACCCTGCCAAGCTGCACTGCTTCTTGACACACTGCTTGCTTAACCCGGAAGCCAGTCGCACCAATGTGTCGGAGGAAACACCGTACAACTGGCGACCGTGTCAGCGTGCATGCGCCCTGCCCGCCACAGGAGTCGCTAGAGCGTGATGGGACAAGGACATCCCAGCCGGCCAAACCCTCCCCTAACCTGGACAACGCTGGGCCAATTGTGCGTCGCCTCATGGGTCTCCCGGTCACAGCCCAGGATCGAACCCGGATCTGTAGTGACGTCTCAAGCACTGCTGTGCCTTAGACCGCTGCGCCACTCGGGAGGCCCAATGCAACTTATTTCTATCTGAAAACTGAAATGGCCATTTCATTCCTTTTCCATTTTAGTAGATGCTCTTGGGGCGGCAGGTAGCTTAGTGGTTAAGAGCGTTGTGCCAGTAACCGAAAGGTCGCTGGTTCTAATCCCCGAGCCGACTAGGTGAAA